TACTTACCAATAACATCAGATACTGTTGCATCGGATGCAACACGTATACATTTTGTAGCAACTTTTTGTCCGGCATCTTGAAAGTAAAAGCGCATAACACCATGAAATAATAAATTCTGTAAAAACGTGTAAAGACAAAATTAAATATTTATTATAAACGATTTTTATCTATACATATACAAGTATAAACAAACCTCATCTGGTTCGGATAGTGCAAAGAGATCCAAACGATTTGCATTCCATTGTTGTATAACTGAGCGAACTGCTTCACGATCAAGCATTTTTTTATCATGTGACATTCTATGATTTGAACTTACAGAAAAGACTGCTGCGGGGGCTGCTGCGGTACTTCGTTGTGATACTATCAGCTTTTATCAGAAAATAAAATAATGCTGTAAGTAAAAAAAAAATATGTTAAGTACTGTAACATTTTGAAAATTTGCTGAACAATTATATATATTATAGTATATTTATTCTGTAGTATTGTAAGAAAATTAATGTGAACCGAAAAAATGTTGTTATTATTTCGCCATATGTGCACATAATTTCCTGGTAAAAACATAAACAAAAGCACGCACAAAAACTATACAAAGTTGGAAATGATGATTTATAATTTGGAGCAGACATGCTGGAGTTTTTATATGCAAACATTTGCTGTACATACGAGTAAGAAAGCGTTTGTGTTTATAATGAAAAATTTAGTTATAATCATTAATGACCATTTTATGACTAGAAAATATAATTTGCTTCCGTTCTGATTTAGTGCATAAAATTTGAAATTATTTTTAGTTTTAGTATTTTAAATTTTCCTTCTTCGGCATGAAGTTATATGATTCAAATGAACTAATTTGTGTGATCTTATGAAGCACTCCTTATTTATATAGTGTTCATTTAATCATTTATATAGTATATATATTAGTATATATATTTTAAAAAAAGTAGTGGAAATATAATCTAAGTACGCGCTCTGGTGCTGCCCTGGATGTGTCTCTGGCGGTACCGGTTTATATTACCCTAGAGACCATTAAAAGAAGTATCTTCATCTACATGCTGCAGCTTGCCAATAACAGATGAAAAGCACTTAGGTCATTTGCAACTTTCAAGTTAACATGGCCCACCTATAATAAAAATAGATCCTCGGAACTTATCAAAAGAGTTCGGGTGAAGACTGCAAGGCTTACTGCAGTTCTTTCTGGTTATTGGTGTATAGGAAACCACGCAGAGTAACGCGCATTCCTCATAATCCTCACTGCAGACGTTGTGGAAACCCGTTGGAAAAAGTAACTATAATACATTTTCTCTGTGAATGCCCGGCTTTGGCATCCAGAAGATATAGGTTCTTAGGAAGATACTTCTTTGATAGTTTATCAGACTTGTTCATCGGTGAAGACGAAAGACCTATTAAATTATCTAAATTCGGCGGGATAGATTTAGTCTCTACTCTTCTATACTAGGATTCTTGCGGTAAAATGTGGT